GGCTGGCGGGAGCGCGGGCCCCTGGCAGCCCCCGCGCTGCTCGCTGCTGGAGCTGCCACCGGAGCTGCTGGTGGAGATCTTCGCCTCTCTGCCCGGCACAGACCTGCCCAGCCTGGCCCAGGTGTGCACCAAGTTCCGGCGCATCCTGCACACCGACACCATCTGGAGACGGCGCTGCCGGGAGGGTGAGTGCGCCCGAAGTAGCGGTCCGGGCCTGGGCGGGGCCTCGGACCTGGACGGGGCTCAAGATCGAAGTCCGAGCGGCGGGGGCCTGGGCCTGCGATAGGGGTCGGAGGTCCCCAAGGGCCTTGGATAGGATCCTTTCATAGATCGGGGGCCCCATGGGAAGGGTCCTTGCTGGGCGGGGGTTAGGGCCTGGAGAGGACTCCGGGGTCTCAGGTCCCCATGGGCCCTGGACCAGGACCTGCCACAGGTCGAGGGTTCCAAGGGGCTGACCTGGCAGGTCCGGGGGCCCCTGCCACAGATCCGGAACGCGGCGTCCGATTGAGGTGGAGTTTTCAGTGGCATTGGAGTGCTCAGAGAGGGGTGAGGGGTCCCCCAGCTGCAGGGACAGGACGCTGCAGAGCCATCCGGAGGAACGCAAGCTGGGCAGGGGTTCCCTGTGGGTGAGAGACCCTGGATGTTTAGGCCAGAGAGTTAGCTGATGTCTGTGGGCGCCCTCACCTCCCCAGCCCTTGAGAGGTGGGAGGAAGCTGAGCAGAACGATGAGGATGAGCTTGAGCAGTTAGGGAGCAGAGGAGGCCAAGTGTTTGAGGGGGTCTCCTGAGGGGAGGACTGGGTCTGTGGACAGGTAGGTGGAGCAGGGCAGTGCTGCAGGGTTGCTGTCCCCGTCAGGGATGCTGGTGGCAGTAGTGAGGGTAGTGACTAGTTAGTTTTTTAACAAATCCCAGAAGGAAAGATTTATTTAATCCAGAGTGCAAGCTCTCTGGGTTTAAATGTTGACAGATCTCCGATGTTCAATACACTCTCTTATTTTGTTAAACAGGATAGATAAGAAAAAATCTGAACAACGTAGAAGGATGAAAGTAAGAATTATTTAGAGAGCCCTACAATCAAAATAAGCCACCCTTAAAATTTTGGAAAACATCTCTCCATATGCACGTGTAGAGTCATAAACACATTTTTACTTAAATGAAATCACATCATATATATTCTCTTGCAGACGGTTTAGTATTAAGAAACTATATACTATTTCATTGTATGCATACGCCACAGACCAGTCCCTTGCTGATAGACTCTTAAGTTTGCAATTATTCCTGTTCATAAACAGGGTTATCAAGACTGCCTTTGTGCATTTCATAGGAGTTTATGAGACTTCCATGTACCTTTTAGAACTTCTGAAATTATCTTCTTAGTGTGGATTTCCCAAAGTGGGGTTGTGGGTAGTAGGATGAGCACATTGATAACACCTTAGATACCCACTGCCCAGCTGTTGGAATTTGCATCCCCAGGAAGGCTACATGAGGCCTTTTTCCTCACATCTTTCCCAACAAGGGGATCAGTCAGTCATCTTCTCTCTGCTGTAAAGCTTAGTGGCCAAGACTCTGGATTTGTAGTCCATAGGGCAGGCTCTGTGTATATTCTGAGAGATCTTGGACATGCTGCTTCACCTTCCCAAGTGGGAAGTAATTTTTGTCTTACAAATTTATAAGAACTCTGAATATTAACAATATTAACCTTGTCATATACGTGGCAAGTAAATTTCTTTTGACATTTTAAAATAAAAGCAAGGAAGTTCTACTTTTTCTTTCTCTGTGATTTACATTTGCTTTGTTTCGCATTTTGTATACCTGTAAGACCCAGTTTCGTCATAGATGTTCCATTGTGCTTTGAGGAGTTTCTCCTTCAGTTAGCCAAACCTGCATGATGGTCTCTGGGGAACTGTAAAGGATATAGTTCAACTCTAGAAATGGAGGGTAACAGAAGAGTTTTGTGTAAACAGAAAACTCAAAGGCATGTTACAGAGTAAAATTAACTGGAGTTATAGCTCAGAGTAAATTCTGAGAATTGCTAATGGAAATATAGAAAGTCCTGATGAAGATGTAGAAAGAAGTTGAGGTGCAGACATAGAAGGACTCTTCATTCCTTCCTTTCCCACTCTGGATTCCTCAGTTCAGCTTTCCTAGGATAATAGACACCTCGATGTTGGAATCCAGGCATCTTTTGTTCACTGACGTGGCCTAACATGCTAGGGGAATTTTCATTTTGAGAAATTAAAAAATGAAATGATAAAACAGGCATATTCCTAGTCATTCCCAATAAATAACTATTAAGTCTTTTGTCACGTTTGCTTTTTTTCCCCTACCTTTTTTTTTCTTTTAAGAAAACATCTCCGTTAACATTGAAGTCCCTTCTGATTACCACTGTGCTTTCTACTCTAAGAAGCAGCTGCTGTCATGGATTTAGTTCACTTATATATACTTACACTTGTATATGTCCCCCATATGTAACATTATTTTATGGTGGTTTAATTTTTAGAAATCTGTCATACTCTAAATATTGTGCATCTGCTTTTTTCCCCAGTCAGCTTGTGTTTTTAAGTTTTGTTCATGTTAATACATTTAAATCTGGTTCAGTCTTTTTAAATGCTGTGTGGTGGTTCATAATTTGAAGAGGCCACACTTTTATTCCTGTACTTATTTTTTTCATTATACACAATGTGACAGTGAACAATCTCATATATGTTTCCTTAGATGCATATACATTTGAAAATTTTTCTAAGGAATATATCCAGAAGTGGTTTTGCTGGGCAGTGGGCTTTGAGATTTGCAGTTTTACTAGATACTGTTCACTTATTTCCTGGAGCGATTTTACCTGTTACATACCTGTCACTAGGGCGAGAACAGGCAACTCATGAAAGATAAAATACACATGCTCAATACACATCATCACAAAGTAGCTGCCTTTGTGGTCCAGGTACTTTGTTATCTCGTTTAATCCAATATCCACTAAATTCTCTTTCATCTTTAAAAATCTGTGCCAGTCTGGGTGAGAAGCAGCATCTCATTTTAATTTGCATGTGCCTGATAACTACTAGTAAGGGTGCACATTTTAAAAATACAGTTATTGGCAATTTGGATTTCTTTGATTATCCTTAATCTTTGCTCTTTTTTTGCTGTTATTTTTTCTTAATAATTTGTAGGTTTTATTAATTTAATCTGGATATATTTCTGTTTAATATACTGCAAAGATCTTGTAGTCTATTATTATTTGCTTTTTAACTTCATTTATAGTGATTTTTGTGTAAATTACATTAGTCAAAGTTACAAATTTTTAGCTTTGGGTTTAAGTAATCATTGTCATCCCAAGGTTATGAAAATGGTAGACAGCCAAGTCTTCAGTTTTACTAGTTCATTCTGGTATCTTTAATTTCCAGCTCATCTTGTCAACAATTGGACAATCCCATGTGATATTCATAGGTGTCTCATAGAGTTAGTGTAATTGTGATTGGATTGTATATAAGAATAGTTGTGTATGAGATAAGTCTGGTCTTTTTTCTCTGTGCCCCAGAACTTCATCTTCCAGAGCTAGACATTTGGTCATAGTCCATGTAGGCGAAAACCAAAGCCCACGTAGCCTTGGTTAGCAGGAGGAGGGATCTCAGGCTAGTTGAGAAGATGGGTCATCCTAGCCCATAAGGCTTTCTGAAACAGAGCCTCCATGTCTGGCCCTGACTTTATAATGGTGGCTCCCTTTTCTAGTGTCTTGGGAGAGTGAGTGAACTAACTAGTGAATTTGCATGTTTACTACTCAATGTTTACATATTTGCTTTTCGTATTTTGGTAATGGGAGTTTTTTCAGAAAAAAGAATGAGCCACAGTAAAACGAGAGTGGGAAAGTGGATACCACACATCTATATTACTGCTTCAAAGAATTTTGGGCCATGATTGACTTTAAGGGTGTGGACAAAGCATGCATGTTTTAAGAGCTCTTCCTAAAATGATAGGATGATTTAGGGGCAAGGGGGAGATACACGAGAAACTTAAAATGAGGTAGCTTTTTATAATGTTTGGTGAGAAGTTCACAATTGCCAGTGTCTTAGCAATAATAAATCAGTTATTTTTTATAGAACTTTGGCCTTTCTAGCTCCCTGCATGACGGAATTGTAATAAATATTTTCTAGTGGTATTTCTTTGAGCAGGTAAAAGAAATTTGCTACTGAGAAGCCAAATCTGTGCTCCTGATTTGGTGGCAAGTATATAACAAATTGGCAATACTTTCCCCTCTTAAAAGAAACCAAACCAAATCCAGACTCCCAGTCAGGGGCTGAGAGAGGGAGGGTAAACACTTTTTGATGCATCATTCCTTTGGCTACAGGCCTCCTGCAGTTACTTGCGTGTGGGGCTATAAATAAGTCATTTCTCAGAGTACCCAGGATGGAAGCCAAATACATTATTTTGCATTTGACCCTGACAGGGCTTTTTTTGGGTAATACTTCACCATTTAGTTGATGAATTTTCAAATGCTAGCCCATTTCAACACTTCATTTATTCAATACTTCATGGAGTCTACCTAAGGCTAATGAGTTTAGAAAGTTCAAACCGTAGTTCTAAGTCAAAATATTCAAGTAATAACAGAAGATAAATTTAAAAACAAAGGAAATGCTCATACATGTATTTTTCCATTCTACACCGAACTCTAAATATTGAGTCACAAAGATTTTATATTATTCAGCTCAATGCCTGCCAGTGTCAGGTTTTATATTAATAATATATAATTTTCCCATTTCTTTCCTTGATATTTTAATGACATATGAAATAATATTTGTATAATATTTTGATCAGTTGTAAGTTTAAAGTGGGTTTAAATTCCATTATAATTAGAAATATCTTTTTCCCCAAATGTGCAATCTTTATGACAGAAAAGAGAAATTAAAAACCAACATTTAATTTTGTTTTTGCATGTCGAAGAAAATGAGGTTTTTGTTGTTTTTTTTTTTTAAAGTGATACAAAATATGAGAAATGTGGCTTTCATTAAATATGGCTGAAATTGAAAGGGACATCTTGGGAGGAGGTGAAATGGCAAGTTGTTGGTTTTAAGGTTGGCTTGAGGAATAATTTTTGATTCCTGTTAAGCGGATACTTCTTGAGTCCAGCAGTTTTGGTGGTGGGGTAGGCGGGTCTGCAGTTGGATAAACAGACTGACCAGGTCATAGAAACACAT